GGCCGCTCCCCCTGGGGCTGGACGTGGCCGGCGGCTCCGGGGGCCCCGCGTTGCGCCGCCCGCTGTCATGCAGGGCCCCGGGCGCCCCCGTAACCCTGGCGGTTTGTTTGCAGAGACGGCCCTGGAAGGAGGAGAAATGCAAGAGGAGGGAGAGTGAGAGGGGTAAGGAGCTCCCGGAGCTGCGTGAGTGACCCCCGCCCCTCGCCCCGGGGGCTCCCTCCAGCCGCACTGGGGGGGACAGGATGGGATGGGCGGCAGGTCCCAGCGTTGGGGGCTTGAAGTCTCTTGAGCTCCAGGGTGCGGGAGAGGGGATTCACCGCCTGGAAGGAGCTGAGGCGCAGGGTGCGTCCCCTGCCAGGCACCTGTTCCGACAGAGGCCGAGTCGGTTGGGGTGGAGGCTACGCATGTGTCAGGGAACGGCACCAAGGTTGTTCTAGCTCTGGTGTGCGGGTTTGGGATTCAGGACTTTGGCCGGCATGTTTGGGGTATTCCTGATGTGCGTCCAGATGTGCTTGTTCTAAAGAGGTAGCGGCGCTTGAACTTTTTGGTGCTCATGAGCTCCGTGGAGGCATTTTTGCATTTGATGTAATAGCCTGCGTGGCCTTCAGCGTCCTTAGTATTTTGCAGTAATTAAGCCTAAAAGCTCTCTGTTATTGAACAAAGATCTTGGGCAGACACAAAACGACGTTGTAAATCATTCCCAAGTGACATACTCGGGGCCTTTTGTCAACTGAAAACTCTACACCAAATAGAAAATAAAAGCTAGGTATCTGGTGAATAAAGAAAACCATATTAAAAGTCAACCTCTAAATACCTGCGTATCCAACCTTGATTGTGCCTTCCAGAAACACAGCCTCTACCTCACCGTATACTTGCACGTGCTTTTGTCTGTGTGTTTATGATTAAAGTGATGACCTGCACAGAAGTATAAGTCCAGCACGTTAAGTATGTGACTCTGTGAAGTACTCTGAGATCTGAACTCCAGATTCCTTGTCCCTTGTGAGTTCTCTGGTTCACTCGGTTGTTTATTTGGTGTATGTAAATTTGTGGTCTGTACATAGAAGGTGTTTTTGGTTTATATCAGGAGGGTACGTTGACATCTGTCTGATACTAGACTGGTGAATAGGAAGAAGGTCCCATCTCTCTCTGGCCTGTTTGTGGAAGCTGGGATGATGAAGGCACTGCAGTGGGAACGTGCTGTGGTACAGGGTTGAAGCTCCAGCCCATGTCTGGTAGTTATAGAGCAATTGGAAGGGTTACGTGCAGAGTTCTGGTAAAGTAAGTGTGAGCAGCGTTAAAGTGGGGGCTGCGAATAGGGGTGCATGTTTTCCAAACATCCTTTAGCCTAAAAGCGGGGTAGGGGAGGGACAGCCTGGGGGTATTAGGGCAGCAGTTTGGTGGAGGAATCTTATCTTTGTTTTCTCCCTCTGGAAGACTGGCTTGCTAGTGAGATTGCATGAAAGCTTCAGCTCTTACACCATTTCTCCTTTTCCTCCACGTTCTTATAACTTCATCACACTTCAGCCTTTCGAGCCAAAAGTTTTGAGGCGTGATATCTGCTCAAGCATGAAGATTTTTGAATGGGGAGGTGGATTCTAAGAGAGTTTAACAAAAACAACGTAGTCATCTTTTGAGCATTGATAAGAGCTTTATTTTGACTTGCACACTTTGTAAACTAAGCAAAGAAAAGTTAGGTGCTCTCTGAACTTCTGGTAGGGGACTAGACGGAGACAGGCAGCCGCTGAGTGCCCTCGCCTGTGCTAGCCTGGATTTTAGAATCTGGAAATGGAGTTGCCTTTCATACCTTGTACTCTTTAAATAGGAAAGCTGTTGTGAGATTTTTGTTTAAATTGGCATCTTTCTGTTTAACTCCTGAAGTTTGCAGTTGAATCCAGGGGAGTCTTGGATAATTACAAAGTTTATTTGGAAAATGCATCTGATTATTATATGAGACTTTTATGTTTTTACAGAATCAGGTTCACTTTGATGTGGAAGCTGAGCAAATAAAGGCTTACTTATTTTAAAAACAAAACCAACCAAACAAACAAAAACCCAAAACCCAAACTTGACATTCCAAACAGAAACCCCCTCTTGATTCAGGTGGTGCTCAATTGCCAAGAGTGCGTTATCTCTTCATGTGTGTCCCTCCTTTGGAAGAAAAAAGTCATGTAGTTAAGTGTTACATACATAGGGCCTTGCTGTGGGCACTGTAATTAATTTGGCTTGGAAAAGAAAGCAGAGGAAGGAAGGTAAGAGTCTCGCCCCATCAGATTCTGACTGAATCACAGCAATGTAAATCCAGAGTAATTCAGTCAAGCAGCTAGCAGCCTGACTGCAGGCCACCAATGCAAGGTGAATAATTCATCCTTAAGTGTGTTTATTGGTTGATTTGTTGTGAGTGAGTGAGGCAGGAATACTTGGCTTTGCTGTTGCATGAGCAATTCATAAAAACAAAATTATCAGGTAATTTGGTTCATTTAAATACTGCTTCTCTACATAGAGGAAAATTATCTTTGCATTTTGGCTCACATGCAGCAATTCCACATGTATTTATTCTGCCCTAATATACTTCTGGAAAGTAAGTGTTTTCATGCTACTCGGGGCATGCTCCTCAGCTTAACTGATCATTGAGATAGGCCCTTCAGAAACAATATTTACTCGCTGATTAGACTGCTGCCACATCATAACAGAAACAGGAGTGGGACAATTTGCAGGTAGCTGCATGAGAAACCTATAGCGCTTGCTTTCTCTAAGCAGCTTGCTCTGCCAGATGTTCTCTGAGCATAGTTTTTACCAGATGTATTTTACCTACCAGTTTTGCCATATTTGTTCAGGAATGGGTGCATATTCCGCTTCAGGAAATATTCTTTTGTGGTTTTCTTTAGTTTTTGCATAGCGTTTTCACAAGTGTAACAAACTTTGTCCACTAATGCTATTACGCAGAGGAATGTAAGGATTAGAATGGAAAGGGCTTCTTCAGCCGGGTGTGCCTAAAGAGATTACGCCTCTGTCTTCAGAGGGCTATCTTTTGGTGTCTAACTGGTCCTCTGACTGCATGGAGATTTGAGATCGAGCAGTGGGCACTTGGCTGGGGACAGAGTCCTACAGAATCTTGTCCCAAAGACGGGAATGAAATGGGCAATAGAGAGCCGTGACATGATCTCACTTGGAAATAGGGTATCTCAGGAGCAGGGTAGTCAGGTTGTTTTCCCGCTGCCTAGTCTCGTTGGATGAGAGAGGAGGATCTTGTCTGTCAGGAATATTGAGTGATATTTCCGGGTTTCTTCCGAGAGTGGGGCTGGGGTGGTCAGAGCAGTGGGCAGCAGGAAGTTAGGAGCCCTAAGTTTGACTTCTTGGTCTGCTGTGGCTGTCTGTTATCTTGGGCAAGTCTATTTCCCTCTTTCTGCCTGTCTTTCTTCCTGTGTAACACAATGCTAATGTCCCCTTGCTGCATCTGGGTTCTTAGTGTCGAGCTGGGGTGGAGGGACAGGCAGGGTCCAACATTTTCACTGCTTCTGGGGTCAGACTGTCTGTGACAGTGAAAAACAGTTTTCAGCTGTATTTGCCTGGTTGCAGATGCACAGACTTCATCATTTATGCCATGTACTTGGGTGGATGATAATTGGGGAATTTTGGAGGTGTTCTGGGTTTGTAGTCAGTCCTTTTTTTTTTTTTGCATGGAGGACTATTGGGCAAGAGGCGTTTGAGACGGACCCAAGCCTGTGGGAATAGCAGACACCTTTTTCCCCTGAAAATAATGTTTGGATTTGGGCGGATAGCTCAAAAGTGGGGAGAAGTTGCTCAAGTAAGAAAGGGGAGATTAAGGAACTGTCACAGTGTTAGACTGAGTCAGTTCCATGTTGGAGTCTCTTTGGGTTTAATGTTCTTTTTGTGTGTGTGTGTCTGTCTGTCTGTCTTCCTTCTCCATTCCTCTTCCCTTCCCCTTCCTCTTCCCCCCTGTGCCCAGCTAGGATGGAAGAATCTCATTTCAACTCCTCCCCGTACTTCTGGCCAGCAGTGCCCACCGTCTCGGGACAGGTAAGATCTTTGTCTTCCAACCTATTATGCTGGTCTTGCTTCCTGTTAGAAGTTCATGCATGATAAGTGTTTCTGTTGCATTTCTTGCTCAGCCAACTGCTGGGAGAAGCTGTGCCAGGGTATTCTAAAAGCTGTTCTTCCCACCCGTTTAGATTGAGAACACCATGTTTATTAACAAGATGAAGGAGCAGCTATTGCCCACAGAGAAGGGCTGCAGCCTGGCTCCCCCCCACTACCCTGCCTTGCTGACAGTACCCACTTCTGTGGCTCTACCCACTGGTATCTCCATGGACTCAGACACCAAGCCAGAGCAGCTGACACCACACAGCCAAGCCCCTGTGACTCAGAACATCACTGTGGTACCAGTGCAGTCTGCTGGGCTCATGACAGCAGGTAGGGGACTCCAAAGACTTGGGCAACTTATGAAGGAGACTCCGGGATGGTGGGGCGGAGGGTCCTGGCGAATCCTTTTCAGGCTGTAGGTTATTCCTAGCCTTACTGATGGTGTGGACTGCCCTGGCGTGGTTTCACTGTGAATCTTTAGGCATTCCATACGTCCACCCTCTCTACGGAAGTTTGGCTTCTAGCAGTGGAGACTGGGAACGTGTAGGCTACTCTTCTGTTTGGGTTGTAGTCAAAAGTAGGTGTATAAAGCTCAATTCTGTGGGATAAGGAGGTTGGACGTAATTAGAGATGTAATAACTGACTTCCTCCATCTTTCTTTCTTTGCAGGTCCTGGTCTGGTGATAACTTCCCCATCAGGTTCCCTGGTGACCACAGCCTCCTCTGCCCAAACCTTTCCCATCTCAGCTCCCATGATTGTCTCTGCGCTACCCCCTGGCTCCCAGGCAGCCCTCCAGGTGGTTCCTGACCTGTCCAAGAAAGGGACAACCACCCTCTCCGAAGGTGGTGGGGGTGGTGGGGGTGGGGGAGTTGCCCCCAAACCACCCCGGGGCCGGAAGAAGAAACGATTGCAGGAGTCGGGGCTGCCAGAGATGAGTGACCCCTTTGTGCTGTCAAATGAGGATGATGAGGACCAGCACAAGGATGGCAAGACATACAGGTGGGGAGCGGCGTTAAACCTTGACTGTAACATTGCATGGGGATGGGGGTGTATTTAACCCTTCAGAGGGTTACATGGGGAAGAAGAGATCTCTGCCTTTTCCTGTAGAGTCCCTGAGTAGAGAAACTTTCAGCCGCAGAAAGAGTTGAGTTTTCTCTCTAATCAGGAGTGTTTGCAAGCTGGGGGGTTGACCCAAAACTAAGGATTTCCTTCTTAGTGGACAGCCTTGATTTCCTGAATATAGAGATGTTAATGTTACTAGGTTAGTTAATGACCAGGATGTTATGGGGCTGAACCATATCCTTGATGCCACAGCCGGGTAGTATGGCTGGTGTACTGCAGAATGCAGTACTGTCTGGTGCAAATGGAGCACTTCTGGTGTAGCGGAGCGCCCTAGTAATGTCCAGGTGCCCCGAATTAGGACTCCAGTCTGTCCAGTGTAAAGACTACAAACTGGAGGCACACAGAGCAGGAAGTGAACTGTGGTGATAGTGTCTGCTCCTGTGTGCATTGCCCCTTGTGATCTCCTATCTCAGCATTCCCAACAAAACAGGAAAAAAAAAAAGTATTTCTGAATTAGGTATAAGGGTATTTCTGAGCCCTAAGGGTATCAGATAAGAGGGGGGAGAGTTCTGAGCCCTGAGGTTGGGTTTCTGAGCTTGGAGGGATGTGGCTTGAGTTTACAAGTGAGTGGTGGGAAAGGGAGAGATTAACTAGGAGGGGATACTTAAACCAGAGGATAAGGAATGTGGGTGTTTTAGAAAAGTTGGGAACTGGACAGAGCAGGCAGGTGCTAGGGAGGAAATGTGATGGTCTGTCTGAGTTGGGAAGCAGGAGCACATATGGGTGATTTAGCGATAGGTGTTTCCGAGGGATGATTAAGATCAGTAAGAGGCAAAGTAGCCAGATGGAAACAGAATAGGAGATGGTCCCTAGCTCTTCTCACTTCCCTACTATGTGCCCATGATCCCATCTCAGTTTCCCTTTAACCATCCTAGACTCTCTTTTTTTTTTTGTACAGATTTAGTTATGTTTCTGGAATTAAGTCATAACAATATGAAGGCATCCACACAGAGTCAATGCATCCACCCCAGGCACTGTTTCATTTTTAACTGTAGCATTTAAAAAAAGTTTACATTTTTAAATCAATACAGTTAAATGGGTACAAAACCAGAGCTTGGATCAGCCTTTTTATTCTCTTACCTAATGTCCCAGTTCTTCCACTTTGAAAATATAATCAGCGTATGGTGAAGAGGGGTGGGAGTGTTAGGTAGCTTGCTATTTGTAATCCCACCATTTATTTTGGGCCTTAGCCACAATTCCACACTACTCAAGCTGCTTACAGTCTGGGTTGCTAATTAGGTTGTTAAATATGTATTTACAGGGGACACAATTGGCAGTGAACACTAGAATTAAAGCTGAACCAAAGCTTTAATTATAGCTCCTTGTTTACTTGTAAGTTTGGAAAAAAATGCCCAAGACCAGGTGGAGTGACTCAGCAGAAACTTTATGAACACGCATAGTCTGTGTAACAGCTCATGAAAAAGACTTTGCAGGAAAAAAACGAAGGAGTTTATATGTAGGAACATGTAATCAGGAAGATTTCCTGTCTTCGTGTTTAATCTGAGTGTGATATCTCTGCCTCTTCCTCCAGCCTCCATCCCAAGCAGGCCTTCCTCTGAGCAGAGCTAAAGTGCAAGATAGCTGAATTGAGATTTATTGAAGATCACCAAGGAGTACTTCTGCCCTCCTTGGTGTCTTCTCTTTGGCTGATACTTTCCATGTGCAAGTTTGGAACTAAAAATAATTGTTGAAAAAATAAAGGAAAATACTGTCTTCACTTGGAGCTGTGGGAGAGAAAACCTTTGTGAAATACAGTAAAATTGTTTCTCCATAATATACATATGAATAGACTTGCAAGTTAAAACTTTGAGGACTCCTGGGTTTCTTCTGCATTCTAGAGGATGATTTGGGTAGTTCCCGTTACTACAGTATGCAGACATATCCTAGCTAAATTAAGACTGTGGGTGAGGTTCATCTACTCCTGCTCCCTTCTGAGGCTGGAGGAGGAGTTGCTTGTGGTATTCATATGTCTACGTTTGTACGGTTTCACTGATTCTTATGATGATACACTGAGGACAATCTAGTCAGATGCCTGGAAGGAGTTGCACTATATTGAGCAATATGATTTTTTTTAAATACCTAATTCCCAAAACCTGGGATTATTTTGTCAAATTTAATTACTTTTTTGGTTTTAAGTTTCTTTTTTGAGTTCTGTGAGCTCTCTTGTCCTAAGTGCCTGGGCAGGTGGCTGATTTCCCTAATTCCTGACTCCTCCTATATTGGTGAAGACAGAGTAAGGCCTTGAATGGGCAGCACAGCAAGGCAGACTGGGAAGGAATTGGAGCACAAAGGTGATACTCGTATTGCAGCTCATCCCACTCTCTACTGAATCTAGAGATTCCCACTCCAGCAAATGGCAGCTGGTCTACTGCTGTATCATCTCTAGAAGTGAATTAGTAATCTGCTGTGAAAGTGGTGCAAGAATCTTTGTGACTAGGTTTTTCTTTGTAAGAAAAGGTGTGAGGCTTTTGCTAATGATGGTGTTGCTTCCAGATCTTGGACATCTAGCCTTAGGATTAGTCTGGCAGAGTCCTTCGTGCTTTGCTTTGTGCTATTAGAAGAATGCTTGCACCCGCAGGGGACAGTGTCTAACCCAGTGTTATGAAGCGTTTTCCTTCATGAGTAATGTCACTTCAGTCTTGTCTGGATTCATTGTCAGCTCTTCGTAAATCTTCCCTGTCATCTTTGTAGAATTTAATTTTTCTGTGGAAAATGAGATCGGTGTTGAGTCTTTCTAGTAAGATGCTGGCAGTGTGAAGCACATGGCTTCTTCTCAGTACTTTAAAAGGTGCTGAGGAAGAGTGCATGAGCATAGGTCCTGGAGACAGTAGTACTTTTTCTTACTACTGTTTTGGTCCCTACCTGTGCACTTTTGGAAGTTTGTGGTGTGATGTGATCAGTGGACAAGACTGATGAAGTGGTTCAGCCTATCTGGGCCAGGTCATCAGTTCTCTCTCTCTGACAAACAGTTCTCTAACTAGTTTCTTCTTTGCAAGAGGAAGAGAGCTCTTTATAGGCGTTGCTTGGTTCCAGTATTAAGTTTGTACAGGCTAGGGCGAATACTAGTTTATAGCCTGGAATGGTTTTGCAAGCTGTGCTTTGGAGCCTAGGGCACCAACAGAAAAGCTGTAGGCTTGAGAAGGGCCTTGCCATCATACTGTAACCAACAAGCTCTCTGTTCCCCACTGCTAGTTCTGAGTTTCCCTACTTTCACTAGGTTGTGGGAACAGCAGGGGGTTTGGGAGGCAATAAGCAGCTGAGAGACATAGGAAGCTTCTGAGGTAAGTCCAGGGTGAAAAAGTGCACAGAAGCCTTAGAAGGCTTAGCAAGAAGCAGAGCTGAGCTGTCAAGTGCGAAGAAGCTGGGTGGAGGCCCTCGTTAGTGAGGAAATTAGGGACACAAGGGGAGCCAGTGGTTTGAGTACAGCAGGTGGGTATGTTCTCAGACATGTCTCATTTTAAGCCTTTTTTTTCTGCCCTATACTGGATTTAGCATTGCTGTTCGGTGAACTTCCCATGGTTTTGAATAGAGTTGAAATCTGGTGGCTATGGCTTTTGTAAGCCACATATATCTGTGAAAATATGGTCAAATTTGGCCAAGCTGTAAGCTTGGAAAAAAATCTGTCAAGCATGCTCTGAGGTGCTTTATAGTTTGGTGGTTGAAACATGCGAAGATTATATCCTCTTTGACGTTTCTTGAGGCTTGCATGACTCCAGGCACTGACCAGACTGTCTGTCTCCACAGAAGAGAGAAATACACTCTAACCTCTCTCAGTTTCTATGTGAGGCTGGACTACATGTGTATTCTCTCTGCAGCAATAAGCATCTTCTAGACTAGCGCTGAAGGGCCAAGCATGCTTTTCCTTCAGTCACAACTGCTCCTTCTGCTTCAGAAGGGAATCTTTTTTGCTCAGTGTTGACAGTAACCTCCCCCCTCTGATGGGCACAAAGGCAAGGTGCGAGAAGACACTGCTTGGTTCAAATGTAGTAGGGACAAGAATGAGATATGGGCAGGGCCTGGAGCTGATTTTGTCCAGGAAGTCTGGAAACTTGGTAGAGCAGAGATGGGAAGTGAAAAGGAGTAGAGAGAAAAGACTAGAGCTTACAAACTAGGGAATGTAGCAGAGGATGTGATGGGGAGTCTATTTGCAAGGGAGAGAAGGCACAGAGATAAGCTATGAAGGACCAAAACTGAGGGGAGGAAGAAAGAGGCAGATCTGCTACGGGCTGGAAAATGAGGAGATACCTAGAATCAGCAGAACAGATGGGGACAAGAGCATGGGATGTGGACAGACAAATAGAAGCGTGGGGGAGAGAAGACAGATGTTAGGTAACTGGGAGAATGCAATAGGGAAGAGCCACTGCAGTAGAGGATAAGGAGGCTGGGGCATGTGGGTAAAGAGCTTGGGCCTGGGTCTTGGTGCAGGAGAGAGGGGATTGCAACAGGCTAGAAGGCTAAGCGCAAAGGGGGAATTAAGTTTGAAGTGTCAGGCAGAAAGTTTGACCACATTCCCTCCAAAGCCTAGAAATATTCAACCCAGTATTCCTAAATTTTGCCGTGTCTTTCATGTCAGCACAAGAATGTGACCTCCTCTGGCAAAGAACCTCATCCCCCTCTAAGGCTAGAAAAAGGTGACAAACTACCATTGCTATCATTTATCATCCTAGCTGCAGTGGCAGAGGTCTGTGCAGTGGATCTTAAGATTGCTGATGACCAACATGGGTGTCAGTATGATGCCACATGTTGGAATTTCTGTTTGCTTTTTTTAACAAGTAGTTCCGTGAGCAGCGGAACTAATGAAGCCTGGTTTCCAGCGGCTCTCTCCTGTGTGGATTCTCTGATGTCTAATCAAGGGTGAGCTTACTAGCCTTTCCCTC